CCAAAAGTGTCCCGCATGCGCAGAAGAGGACACGACGACGTCACACACAGTGAGCGTGCTCAGTGTTTACGGAAGTAAACATGGATGGTAACGGTGGAGCGTATCTGCCACTCCCCCGCCGCCACCAATGGTGGACACAGAAGTGTGAGCGCTAACTAAACTAGCATCAGCAGCCAAGTACTGTCTGTGTGTTCCGGCCACGTCCACCCCGTCAGAGCGCTGCCCCGGAGTGGAAGTGTCCAGAACGTGCACAATGCATCGGTCAGTTAGGTGTGAAATCAGGCAATGCGTAATGTTCTAACAATACACTAGTTATTATAACAACTATGAACAATAAATATTAACAACTAATGAGCCTTCCAGCATCAAGCCCTCCTTGTATCTGGACCTCCGTCTTGACAATCCGACAGCCTTGCTATCAGACATAGAAGAAGGTTTTACATTTAGTGTCGGATTATCAAGTCATGACTGCAATTGATTTATTTCCCTATGAGGATAAACAACTCAGATGGTTATGTTTATGCAACTAAACATGAATTAAGGGGAAGCTTGTGTTTGGGTTAAATACAGAAAAACATCAGTTCTGGCCTGAAGCTCAAGACAGAAAGAGATATTCTCAATATTTAACCAAAATCACACAGTGCTGAAGCAATTCTTTTGTTAGCTGATTGGTCAATTAAGAGACCAGTTGACAATCATTAAAGTCATTTCTGAAGCACAACGGCAAAACCAGTGTGAGGATTTGCTGCTCCTCTTTGTTTTACATCACTCCAACATCAAACTTTTGGATTTTTTTTTGCCTGCTAGAAGGACCAAAAACAACATCTGAACACTTTCCCTTGAGCTTTGGGAACTTGTTTTTTTGTCCCTCACTTTTTCGAGTTAATCAAACTTTTCCCAAACTTTCCTCTTACGCCTCATTTTTAAGCCAAAAAAAAAAAAAACACCCATTCATGTCCTTCCAGTCCTGCATTATGTAGATTTCAATAAAACGAGGACTGTCTAAAAACAACATCCGCTGAAGCCTGAAATGCACGTTTCCTTGAATGCTAAAAATTTTCCAAGACACAAAAGACAGAAAAGCTCTACGACGACACTATTAGTGACCTTGAGAGTAAGACGGGCTTTTTCTTCTCTTCGCTGCTGCACACGTGTTGCATTTCACAAACCATTTTGCAGAGGCGATGGCAGATCTTTAGTGCTGTATTAAACATTTTGCTTACTGTGAAGGTACATAAACACTAGAAATGAAATGTACTCTCGTGGAAAAGCACTTGTCATGCAAATCAGCAAATGTATCGTGTCTATAATCAGAATTACTGCTGTGTCTCTGTATGAGCTTCATTTAAATCTAGTCAGGTGGTGCGAATATTTAACAGCTTTACACACTGTTTGTACTTTATTCCATAAAATTGCATCCAAAACATGCACTACAATGAGGACAGGGTGATATGGCCAAACATATTTATCACGATATAAATGAGAAGATTTGCGATAAGGATATACTTGACACTAGACAAAATACTTCAAAACTGCACAACTTTATTGGTGCAAATGAAAGAAGAACAATTCCTTTCCCAAGCAGCTGTTTTTGATGCGCATTAAAGCTATATGGTACCAAAATCAATAGTGCATAAGTTGTAAATTGCTTGCTGACAGTTTAATCAAAGGCATTTCAAATGGAAATAGGCGCACAAATCCTGAGTATAACAGTGCACAGTATCCACAGAAGTAAAGTAGAGCTGCTTTGCAACATAAAACTTTGCAGCCAGTTTCTTTGGTCTCATCACCACCACAATATTCGGATCTATCTCACGATATTTCAGTTTCATATCATCCCCTAACATTACACCAGCATCACCCATATGGCCCAACCCTAACGACAATAGATGCAACGACTTACAATATGTACGTCTGAAATTTGTTGGAACAGATGAGAGAAACTGAGTTTGGATGCTATAACGTGGAGGAAAAGGGGAGTTTTCACTGAACTGCATCACTTCCACCAGCGTCGTCTTAGAATAAATCCTGTAAACATGCATCCTGAGCTTAGAAACACTCTGATTTGTTCCCACGTGAAAGCAATGAATCGTGCTTTGATGCAAATTCGCGGTGAAGTTTCCTGTTTGAGAAAAATCTAATCAATCGAAACGGTAATCAACAGACTAATCTGTACTGAAAATTAATTATCAGACTTAACCAAACTGAACCAGATGTGGCCTAAACCTGAAAATATGAGGGAAGCAGGATGCAAACCTCCAGCCTCAGAGATGTCATCAAGGCAGCAGTCACATCGCTTCTAGAATGTACTTGGTGAGGCACATTTGTAGACGAGAGATCTATCTGTCAATCCATCCATCTATCGATCAAGCTATCAATCTATCTGTCGATCTGTCCGTGGGTAGGGACGGGCAGACTCGAGACAGAAGCGGTGGGAGCGAAAAAAGGCGAAGTGAGCGAGGGACAAGGGGGATAAATCCTCACTGCTGCAGTATTAATTCTTAATTGGAAAGAGATGCTGTTCTTCAGCGTAGCCATTCTGCTTCATTTAGCTTACATGAACAGACCCAGGGCACGGGGCGATGTAGTTGTTTCAAAGCACTCAGCAGAAATATCAGCAGAAGAGGAGGAGGAGGAGGAGGAGGAGGAGGAGGCGGCAGCAGCAGCTATACCCTACTTGAAATAACCCAATTCATCATAAACACACACACATATGCACGCCCCCACACCTCACTGATTTATAGACCCGCTTTCTAATTGGTAAATACACCTCGGATCTCCAGTTGTGATTGGCCAGAAATGCTTCACCGTGTGCCCCGAAGATGAGTGGACCATCTGGCCTGTTCCTCCCTCCAGAGCAGCCTGATTGCTGAGCCTGGAGGTGGGCCCAGATAACTGGAGGCTCAACTTAAGTGCCAGCTGTACTTAACAGTAACGGGTTAAAGGTTAAGAATGGTGAAAAACCAAACACGAGATTGATTAAAAGACGGGGAAATTCTGATGGAGCTTTCAAGCAGGCTTGCACAGTAAGAAAAAAAAACCACACCTTTCTTCTCCTGTGCAACATAGTAGGCGTAGTACTACTGGATTTACTCAAGAGGCTGTAACGAAGGCGAGTGTTTCCACCAAATTGGGTTTTTTTTTGCAAAGCCTGCGTGGAAAAGAATCTAAGAACAGCAGGGGGAAGAAGCAGTTTTATGACTGCACAGACATAAAACGCTCCAACTATCTGGTAACTCATTAAAAGCACCTCTAACTTCACTGGCTTCTCATTGTGTTATTTTTACCAGCAGCCCTCCAGGAGAGAAGAAGAAGTGATGGATGTAGGATAATGTGCAGCCCCATGAAGGCATCATATGGTGATGGGGAAGAGATGCAACACATTTGAACTGATCTGTAGCCCGACCTGGCAAATCAACACTCCTCCAGTGTGGACTACACCTTCCTGCTCTTTAAGCATCCTGCCTTTACATTGATGTAATCGGCAGCTCTGTCAAATTATGTAACAGCAGAAGAGGAAAAAAAAACACAACACAAAAACAGGCTGAATGAAGTGTCTCCTGGCGGCACAGCTGAGTGGTCAAACCCAAAGTTGTCTCCCCTCGGATCCCGGCTGTTGTTTCCAGCCGGGGTTGTGGTACTTACGTGTACTGCTGTGGGAACGTGAGCCCCTCCGCTCCAGGCCACGACGCGCCGAGCATCAAGATAATCTGGAGAGATACCAAGCAGACGCTGCTGCAAGACCTTTCGCCTATCGCCATTTTCCATTAAAGATTCTCGTCACGGGGGTTTTTGGTGCGTGAATGAAGCGCTCCGGACCGTCTCCGGGGGAGGGGGGCACACGGATAGCGAAGAGTCCGGCTCGGCTTCACTTCATATCGGTTTTTTGCGCTGTCAGGTGGACGCGGAGGAGGAGGCAGGCATTGGCCGTGGACGCTCCGCGGACGGTGGGAGATGCTATAATGCAGCTGCCAAGACACTGCAGAGTCTCCCCTCCTGCTCCCACACACACACACACTCTCGGATACACACCGACACCACCACCAACACCACAATCACACAGGCCGGCGCGTCCACGACAGCCCTCTCTCTCTCTCTCTCTCTCTCTCTCTCATCAGCAGCACCGTGGAGGCGCGTTCACGCTCACCAGGCAACAGAGGAGCAGCAGAAGCATCTAGTTTGTCTTTATTTATCTCTGCGGAGCCACGTGGGAATTGTCAGTGCCATAAATTTTAGGGTTTTTTATTTATTTATTTTCATCCAGGACTGCCTGAGCTTCTGAGCAGCACACTTCTCAAGGGTTTGCTCAAGAGTCCCTGAATGCTACCAAACGTGAAGACTGGGGATTCACCAGCCAGGCCTCCAGGGCTTCCAGATGCACCAACACACGGCACATAGTACAACAAAATCCAAAAATAGTCATAATTAGCCTGAAGATTTTGTTAATTCACTCAGTTTACCCACGATTTGACAGTTAAAATATCTTCATTTGCAAACTAGTCTGCGTTTAATGGCACTAAAGTCCCCTACATGACCTTTAAAAGATTCAAATATATATAAAAGACTACAGAAAACACATTTTAGCATGGACTGTTGACATTTCTAAATAGAAAATCACAGGATTCGATTAAAAGTACACTGTAAAAGAAATGTGTTTAATAACAACAATAAACAACGGACTCCTATTTTACAGATTTGTCCCAGTTTTGATAAATTATAGATAATAACTGGAAAATCACAGAAGATAAAATCACAAATCATTGAAAAATTTGAATTTTTACAAACAGTAATTCGTTCTGTTGAACCTGACATATTTTTCTTACTATATTTAAAACAAATATATAGTTTTACAGATATTATTGCAAAGATAAAATTATGTATATTAGGAACTGAAAAATGGTATATATTTTTTTTCAAACTTATTATTTTACAGGTTTGTTTTTTGCTTTTTTAAAATTTTTTTATTTAAATTTTTTTACAGTTTTGTTAAATTAAGGATATTGACTGGTAGAATAGTGAAAAAAAAAAAAAAAAAAACTATAAAAGGCTTAATTTACACATTAATCCCCCACAAAAAAAAATAATTAAAAATGGCCAAAACTGGAAATAGTATCCACAAAAAACAAAAACAAAAAAAGTGTTTTCACAAACAGTAATTTGCTCTTTTACAATGTGGGACCAATTAGATAGTTTTACTATGTATGTAAATCTTAATATATATATATATTAGATTACACGTATTTGTCCTTTTTTTTCAACCTTTTTTAAATCTTATTTTATTTTTACAGTAATTAAATGTGACAAAATTCCCTTTTTTTCCTACTGAATTTTTGTTGTTGTTGTTGTTGTGAATTTTTGTTGTTGTTGTTTTAGAGTGTGTTTGTTTGTTTGTTTTACATGAGTTGTTTAGTTTTGAGTAGGTTTGGATGTCAACCATATCCAGTCTAATATTTTCCTCTGTGTAAGTTTTCCTTCATGTGAAAACTGCTGCACAGAGAACATTCTTTAAAACACAGTGAACAGTTTAAATGTTTGACCACAGAATAGTGAAGACGGTTAGAGAACATGAGCTCCATCTCAGGCCTTCTCTGGTGGTTTTTAATGTGTTAAATAGTGTGTTGCTTCACACCTTTGGCGTTGGTCTGTTGTTGAGTCTTTGTTCATCTCCAATGTGACCTACAGAAGTTCAGGTTTGGTGATTGAACAAACACCAGCATCCGAGGATTCTGCTGCACTTGCAGATTGAAAAGGAAACAAAAGCAGATTCACATCCTGTGTTTTCCATCCGGCAGGGTTCCTGCTCTTATGTGGAAGAGGTGGAGCCATTTTACACGTCTCAGGCCCCCGGGGGTCCATTATCTTATCCAGCATCCATGGATGCAAATAGAAGTCTTATAGTGTTCTTGAATACATTGAATTAGGAAACTGCTGCTTCACTTCCCCAAGGCAGCATCACCAACCATCTACGAGGTGTCAGATGTCACAAAATTCACTTCAGAATCACAATCAGAATCACAATCAGCTTTAATGGCTCAGTACGTACACAGGAATTTGGTTTGGGCTGTTGGTGTCGCCCTATGAATGAGCAAGGAGAATAATAGAAATAGGAGAATAAAGAATAAAGTGAAATAACTATAGAAAGAAAAAAATAATAATAACAACAAAAAATAATAGAGCAAATATATACAAGAATTTACACATCTGAGAAGAAAAATCATCAGACAAGTCAGAAATATAACAAAATATATCAAGAAATAATATTGTTATTGTTTTTCTACTTTTTCTTTAAATCCAGGCACTTTGGCCCCATGATGGACTGACCGACAGTCGTCCTCAGATTTATTCATCCCCTTCCATTAAAGAAAAGGCAAAATTCACTCAAATAACAAGAAACAGAAAAAAGTAATAATAAATAAAAATTTGCAAAATTATAATTTAGTGAAATAAGAAATTGCGTTGGAATTTTAGTTGAAAATAATAATTTAAAAAAAATAAAAAATACTGTCCCAGAAAAATGAGAGCACTGATGAGCAGTGAAATCTAAATACCTGTCAACAGGTGCAGAAGTCTGACTGAGAGTTACAGAAAACACTTGATAGCAGTTTTTCAAAGGGTTGTTCAACTACATATTAGTTTACGGGTCCCATCATGCTTGTTTGTCTAATGCTTGTATTTTAATGAGACGGGTTTGTGCGTTTCTTGGTTATTTCATCAACTGTAGTTTCTACAGCTGATGTAAAGTTGCCTCACACCTCCATGTTCAACAACTTCTGAGCAGGTTTCTCGTGTGACTGACATCTGATAGAACATCTGACGAGTCGATCCTACCGTGTAGTCCTCAGAGGTGAGCACTTCAAGAAAACTGCTTTTTTCAGTCCCATATGCTGGATGAACCTGCACCAGACCTAAATATAGGATTAGGATGGGACGTGCACACATGCAGCTACCTTTTTGCATTATTACATACAAATGCATAATAGATGTGTTCAATAATTTAAGGACATTTAGGAATTGAAGGAGACCTACAGAGAGCATCAAAAATAAATAACAGGTCAAAAAAACAAGCTTTAAAAGAGAATATTATATAAAAAGCATGAAATAAATTCTTAATTGTGTCTTTCTTCAGTTTCAGACCACTCTCCAATTTGCTTTTATTGTATTTTTAATCTAAGAGTGAACCTTTCTCACAGCAGACATTTTGACTTTGACAGACGTGAACAACATCAACGATGGCTGCGTTTCATTTTGGTGATGTTTGGATTGAGTGAAATGGAGGAACGATATTCGTCTCACTTGTGTGCATCTATTTCCACGTTCTGCCCACGTATGCTGCTGTGTATGTTATTCACAAGGCCATGCTTATGTCTCGTGTCCAGCCTGCGTCAAACATCTATAGAGAACACACATTAGAGCTCCAGACTGCAATGGTGATATTCAAGACAGCCATCGCTGTGCTGCACAGGAAGAAAAAAAATCACACAGCACAGAAATAATTCTGGCAATGGCAGACCACGAAATGATGTAACGCACGTTGTGTTGGCCAGGCCTTTTAGACATGCTCTATATAAGCTGAAAGGGTTCGGAAATACAGGGAAATAAACAACAGAGTGTAAAATGCATGGTTGGATAAGATAATTACATGCATTCTATCAAGAGAAAATATCTGTAGAAATTTATTTACAACCCATTTATAGTATAGAAATCCCCAAATGTATATATTTATATTAAAGTAGAGTCACTCACATCTATCGTGTTGAAACTAAAAGTCTGAGAAACCTCCATCACCATCTAATACATTCAACCCTCTGCAGGCTTTGCAACACTCAAAATAAATAGCCCAAGTTATGTGAAATAGAATCAAAAAACTGTGCAAAAGAACCCAAAAGCAAAGTGAAGTCGCTTTCTTGTGAAGCTCCGAGGATTGCCGTGACCTGATTGACTGAGAATCTCCACAGACAGAGCATAAGGACAATAAAATGCACTGCCCGCATTATAGTTACTACGGAGCGGAAACCTCTGACAGACTACAATTAATCCTCATTTAAGAAACGGTGTTGTGGCCGTTGCAGAAGGTTTGGGCTAATTACCACCAGAGGACAGTTGTAGCTGCAGTGCAGGAGAGCCGAGCAGAGCGAGCTGCCATTCAGCTGTAAGATTTACACCGCGGATGTTCCTTCATACACTGCAGCATCTGTGAATATTAACAGCTCTCGCCAGAAGCAAGATACCATAGAAGTGAGACTCAACACTGAGATGTACAACAAAGCTGCTGTACGGGCAGCGAGACGGAAACTGATTCTGTGGATTCACACACTGTTTCTGAATTTTTTTTCCCCTCCTCTCCGTGTATGGTGATCTGTTTAATTTCATTGCTCGCAGGCATTAAAAGCAGAAGTCAGTCGCCTAATTCCGATACGTCTTTGAGAGCTATTTGTGTAGTATAATAATAATCCCACAGCGGGGTGTGTGGAGACCCGCATCAATCATGTTTAATCTCCCGATGAAGGCAAGCTCCCTGCCAAGGCTTTTTTTTTTTTCCCTGACCAAGATTTGAATCCCCACCTCACCCTGCCTCAGTCACTGGATTCTGACTTCTGACCAGGGAAGCAAGACCTACATAGAGTGCAGCAGCTGTCAGGCCATTTTTATTTCCAGAGAAACAATATGTACACAAATGACTGTCTTTGGCCTGGAAACACAAAGACTTGGCTGCAGTGTTTTTGCCGCACCACATTCATTACAAGCCTTCCTGAAATCCTGGAACAGGGAACTTGTCTTTGATAAACTGTTTAACAGCCCCTATGCTTTGCCTCAGCCAGGCGTTCAGATGCTCGACAGCTGACCCGACAGGATGACTGCACCTACTCCTGCCCCCTCTGGGAGGAAGGATGTGGGTTCAGCTTTTATTCGTCTCCCCGACGGCCCCATGTGCTAATACTGCTGTCATGTCCTGGGGAGAGAGAAGACTAATTACTGACTGCACAGTCTTCCTGCCAGTCCCCCTCGGAGAGCCGTGCACCGTTAATTGGACGACAACTCCGGAGAGACCTGAACTGTGGATGAGACCGACCTTTAACTCATGTAAACAGTAAGATATCCAAATAAATTTTTAATTTCTCCATCTCCCTTATTGCACCTCCATTTCACAACATCCTTGTTTACAAGTGTTCTCCATTTTATCGAAGTTAAAGCAAGTTCTGCTAAAAGAAATAATAATAATGCAAATAACCTCCTGTTTAAGTGGTCTAATATAAAAACACACACAGTGACTCTAGGCTTTGTCTGTTAATGCAGTTATTATCTCTGAACAATATCAAATTAAGCATTCTGATAAATATTTTAGATTTGACTGCAATATTAAATATGAGACTCGTACAGCTGCATTAGCTCCATGAAGCTGCACTTAGGCTCAGGATGCAGACGTCAGCATGCTAACATCCTCACATGCGATGACGCTCACACGCCGAGCAGGTCTGCATGAGCGCCGCCTTACATTAGACCGGCAGCATGAGGCTCATGGGAATCTCATTAGTTTATGATCCCAAATACCGGACGTTTGAGTTTTTTTTAATACCTGTGATGGCCACACAGCCACGCAGAAGGTCCACACACTGACAAACACCATCACCACATGTTCAGTTACTTTGAGTTACAGTCACTTCACACACACTAAAAATTGGTTTGTGAACACTTTGACAACACTGTTTTCTAGACATTTAGTCTACATTGTTTGTCATTTTGCTATTAATTCATTTCTCTTTTCTTTGAGTTACCTGGCTACTGCTGCGCGGCACTTCCTGGTTGGAGACTGAGGGCGGAGCTTTTTTCTGAAGGTCCTATCACAGACCAGACCAAGAGCTCTGACATCATCGGGGGGATTTGGGTTTCGTTGTATTAGTTTTAGTCATAGACTGTATAAAAGATGGACGTAGCAACCAGCCCTGAAAAATGAAGCCAACCTGGAAGCGTCAAAAACCTGCAATATCACTACATCCGCTAGTTGCTGGCTCCAAAAAGCCCTGGCTCCCATAGACTGGAATTGGAAAAGAAATGATCACAGATCACGAAATACCGCAATACAGCTCAGAATTTTTTTCTTATTAGTTTTCATGGTCAATTCCAGAGATCAGGTGGCCAATCTGAAAATAAATCAATACTGAAATTTTGAAAAATCGTCAACATTTTGTGGGGCAAGGGGCGTGGCTGGCTTGATTGACAGTCGGCAGCGACCATACAGATGAAGCGAGCAGAAGGCGGTAAATGTGGGCGGGGCAGAGAGGGCCCGCCTCTCAATCTGTCTGACCAATCGCTGCTCCTATGGCTCCGCCCCCCTCCGACTTTTTTTGCGTCACTGGCTCCAAAAATCCAAGATGTCAACCAAGAAGTAGCAAAACTCTGGCTTCATGTTCTCAGTGCAGAAACCAACGGGTGACGTCACGGTAGCTACGTCCATCTTTTATACAGTCTATGGGTTTAGTTGTTGCCTATATAGTTCCTCCCCATGCGTTCAATGTGGGCTGATCAGCGGGTATATCTATTGCCCCAGCGTCTCAGCCTGGCAGCTCTGTTAGTTGAGTTAATGTCCAGTTTTGCGAGCCGTATTTTTCAGTAGAGTTATATTTTGTTGACCTCTTTTAAAGGGCCCTACAACTCGGATTTCAGTACTTTCGGTTTAAATGTATTTTTCGTTGGAGAAAATAAATGTGTCTTTTGTAAACTTTAAACTTGCGTTTTTGTGCTTTGACTGCTTGGTCCGCGACAAGGTCCAAAGAAAAGTCAGAAAATCCAATCAACTTTCATGTTGTTCCACCGTCAGCCTCATCGAAGCCACCAAGCCGAAGTCAAGATATTTCATCTGCACCAAAGCTGTGCACAGACCTGTGTCGCTTGTGTGGCTATATTTCATCGCGTTGTGTTGTTAAATACCAGCTTTGGTTCTCATTCTCACTGTTAACATCTGATGGAAAGTGTTTTGGTACGTAGGCTGGACTCTGCAAATGCACTACATAACGGTAATTTTGGGGTGCACTTTGTGATAAACTGCACTGATGGATTCAGTGTTTCATTGGTGTAGTTACAGTAAATTATATCGCCCGTCCTTGGAGCAGATGGTTGGTTGGAGGTTAAATGTCTTTGCCGTAGGCAGGCGGAAATCTTCCACCATAACAGCTCTAATTCGGTTCCTCGTTCATCGGTCCGATTCAAATCGCATGTCAGCGTGGCGTCTCACACACACACAGCCTGCGTACCCGAAAATATGACAAAGAAAGTGATGAACAAATATATTTATTCAATTCAAGTTTATTAAATAAGCTTCTATCTGTGGTATCATCATTTTAAAATTAGGCTAAATTTAAAATGTGGCGATTAGGTGTCTATCAGTAAAAGTCTTCTTCAAATACTCTTAAGTAGATTATATTACACAGGAATGAAAACATGGTTTACACAACAGGTGATGCTCCTTTAGGACTTCATACACACAGGCGCACTCAATCAACTATGTCCACACACAGTAAGTATGGTGTTAAAACCTGCTGCAATACTGAGTAATGCAAAGCTTACTGCAACTATATCCTGAGAATCATAAAAAAAAAAATCAACAGTACCAAAGGCTAAGTGCTCAGTTTGGCTTAATGATATACACGTTATTATTCTTTGGTCATCTCTGCAAATTCCTCAAGTTAAATATTCAGATCACCAGTGAAATATGTTTTAGGGAGGATTAAAAACGAAGGCTCCGTCTAAGCCTCGTCAGGAAAGGCAGAAACACCGGCGAGAGCTGGGATGAGCCGCTCGTACACCGTGATGCCTTTCAGGAAGACGTGCTCATTCAGATACTCGTTGTGATCGTGCAGCAGGATGGGCGTTCGGTTCATCGGAGAAAAGCCAATAGCTGGGATACCCACCTAAATTCATTAAACAAACAGAATTCAGACACAGGAGCTGCCACTGATGTCAACTGCTACGATGGATGAATGAAAACTCTGGATGTTAAAGGAAGGACATTTCCTATCAGTACCCAGTTTTTATACTCACCGCTCGGATGAAGCGGCTGTCTGTGGCAGCTGGAAAGATCTCCTTTTCCAAAGTCATATTCCTGCAGCACAGATGTGAACATGAGACTTGGGTTGTACGGGGGCAACATTTATGTGTCCTAAAGGTTCTATAAGCAATGTTAGAGCACGTTGCAACCAAAAGCTCTTGCATATCTCCAGTAAAATGCAAAATAACAGCAATCAGCTTTCCCACAGATGCTGCAGCGAGTAATCGTCTACTAAGCAGTTCTTTCCAGACACTAGAAGAAGCATTGTTGTGTGAAGACTCATGGTGCAAATGTATTAAAACGGTTCTATAAGCAAAATAGGAAATGCAAAAATCCTATTTTATGATCCACTAATACAGCAGACTGTTGTCATATCTGAGCATTAAGTTGCTCATCAGTAATATTACTGTACAAAGTTTGACAGAAACTTTATGCACACACCGTTTAAAAACAGATGAAGGCAGCTGCATGTGCACATGGAGCCAAAATTTAGGTTTAAGCAACATTTACTTTTGTTTTTATTAGATGTTTCAGTAAAAGGTAAAAACACACGGAGCATGCTTTAGTCCACTCACATTGCCTTGCAGGCGTCACTGAAGGCGCTCCACCAAGGATCCTTCTCATCCGTCGATGTGATGTTCTGGTTCATGTGTTTCTGTAACAGATGACGGAAGCTTTAGTTGATTTAACAAACAGAACAAACAGCAGTTCTATGACTGAGTGTAATGTACACTCACCTGAGCGAACTCATAAGTGATGTCGTCTCCTGCTTCCTTGCACCACTGCTTGATTTGCTTTTCAAAGTCCTGGAAGTGCAAACATGTTGCGTTAACGCTGAGCTGGAGGGCTCATCGCAGACGTTTCAACATCAACGTGCATGTTTCCCCACCTGTAGGTTCACTGTAGGCGGTATTCTGAGGTCAAAGCTGACGTCCATCTCAGCTGGGATGACGTTGTAGGCCACGCCCCCTTTGACCATGGTCATGTTCACTGTGGTGACATCGCCGAGCGTGAAACATTCACTGGTGTTCAGCCTGAAACACACACAGGAGGTGGTGACATTAGAGCAATTACAGTCCAATAAAGTCTTAAGTACAACTGTGCTTCTATAACATTGAAATATCACATTTTTTCCCAACATCCACACAAACATCATACTCATTAAACACGGTGAAATTACGATTAAAAGATAAGAAACAAACTTATCAGCAGAAACCACAACATAACTAGCAAAAATAACCATCTTTCAAACCATCTACAGACTGATGTTTTTGCCTCCAAGTCATTTATAAACACTTTAAAAGTGTTTAAAGAAACCAGCTCATGCAGTTTCAGGTCTTTTTGTAAAGTGTTCCAGGTAGAGGGAGCAGCCAATTTAAAAGCTTTCTCTCCCCGTTCAGTTCTAACCTTGGGAACAGACAGTCACAACAGATCCTGGGACCACAGACTGTCACCACGTGCAGCTTTTGTACAATGAAAAACATGTAAACAACAAGGAAGCAAGCCTGAAATACATTTATAAAGTAAAATATGCCAGTTTTTGTTCGTCGTGTGGTCAAATCTGACCGTCCAATACGAGAGTACAACAAACAGTGACGAGTAAAAGACTTAAAATTGGTGATAAACATTAAAGAGCTGTGATAAACTGAATCTAAAACACTCATGTATACCGTATCTCCATAATCCAACACAGACAGAAAAGTGATGGCAACCAGTCGCTTTTTGGCCTCAAAGGACTTGATTCTAAAATAAAAACCCAGTTTCAACTTTCTATCTACATCTAGCATCTATCTGATGTTTAGTTTAGTCCTCAAGAACTTAAACAAAATTCTTTGGTTTTGTTGTTTTTTTAAAAATCTCTCTTATCGCTCTGTGACACAAAGGCTGCTACCTGATATCTCTTTCAAATAACCACTGAAAGTATTTTTTAATCCATAACTATCCATATAATTTCATTGATCTTCTGTAGGGGAGGATTCTGTAACTTGGTACTTTTTAGAATGAATCAGAGGCAATGCTCTGAGACTGGCATTTGAAGCTAAAGTGAGCTGGTTGTGTTGAGTTTATAAGTTTTTTTTTTTTAAACACCTGAATAAACTTAAGCAATGAACCAGCTGTGAATTAAAGTGCTCCAGCATGTCCCTATAATAAGAGCCTAAGTGACTCGAATGCAGAGATTAGGGCATAAAAAAACCATATTGCTAAGTGTAAACATCTGCACGCATGTTTACGGCCTGCTTAATTGCATCACTATTTCATGAGTTTCGCTTCATTTTTAATGTTAGTGCCCTGTTAAATATGCCTCAGCGCAGGTGGGAGATTACTCCTGCAGCAGTGTCGTCCATAAATCAAGGCTGCTTCACGTTTTTTCGGCTTTGAACATGAATTAGGCATTTTTACTGTACAGATGGTTCATTAAAACATGTTAGCAGCCACAAATAGACCCACGAGCAAGTGAAAAAACACCTCCTGCACAGTTGGAATCGTCAAAATGTACAATTTACAGATTTTGCAAGAAGCTTTCAGCATATTATTAATAGCCCATGCATTATAAGAAGCACAGAGAGCAACTTTCATACTGGGACTTCGTGAATAGAATCCATGAAACTTGCAGATTTGATTAAAATTAACACAAAAAGCAGATCATCTAGTGAAGCATTATACATTTTTAAAAACACATCACCTCCAGCTAACTCCAAAACAGTGTATTAATGACAAAATATATCAAAATATATGAGAATGTGAACAGTTTTACCTGTGCTTCTCCTTCTCTCTAAAGTCCAGGAAGGAGTTGATGACGTGCCGCTGTAAGGAAGGGAAAAGACAGGTGTTGTCATTGACACCTTCGATAAGTCCTTGTAACAACAGGTTTATAAAACTCTGCATTTACCAGCTTCTCAGCAGCTGTGTTCTCCACAAACCTAGATCCATGACCTGGACTGCCTGGGCAGTGGACCGTGATCCCTGGAAAGCAGAAATCGTTCATGTTTAGAGTTTAAAAGCGCTAAATTGAAATATGAAATTCTTTGAAACTGATCTGTGTTTTGTACTCACACCAGGGGTTCCTTTCTCCATAAAACACAGTGAAGGCCTCTCCAGGATTGGCCAGACCTACAGAACACATGCAGAAAAATGAGAC